GGGGGGTGTTAAGCCTCCCCAGTGGCACCTGGTGTTGGCTACAGCTACGGTGGGGGCCTTCCCCTGGGCTATGCCGATTCTCCTGCTAGGAGCGAAGCCAGTAGTTCCCGGCTAGAGGGTCTTGCCCCTGCGCTCAGGGTAAGACTGCAAGCCCTATTTGGGGTCAGGAAGGCATTTTACCCCATGGTCAGATTGGCATGGATGGTGGGGGTTATTGCCTTCCTCTGCAACAGAGGGCATGGCCCTCTCCCTGGGACACCATGAGCATATATTGCCAACACTTCATACAAGCAGGACATTGGTGGCCGCGGTTCCCCTGCTTTAATTATGGCAGGTTTGGGTGTTTATGTTGGAGCAGTGTTGAGATTATGGTTGTATGGGGTGGTTTGGATGGGGACGCGCCCGTTCAGCTGGGGAAGCCCAGGTTAAGGTTGGTGTCTACAACCTGGTGCGGGTGTGCATTTTGTATTACAGTCTCCTTGATAGAAATACGTAGAGCCGATTACCCCCTCCTGTGCAGGCTGGGCCAGCACTGGTTGCTGTAGCCCCTCTCCCCGAACCAAGCACCTGTTAGCGGGTGCAGCGATGAGTTTGCCAGCCGCTACCTGGGGAGTCCGGGTGCGTGCAGGGCTGCAGTATGTGATTAGGGACATAATTAGGGATTATCGATACTGGAGCAGGGGTTGGGCAAGATGCCAGCCCTGTAACCCCCTCATGCTATATGCTCTACATGCCCCTTGCTTTCTTGTGTCACCTCACTGACCAGCCAGTAGGACATCACAAGCACAGGCAGAAAGGGCTGGGGCTGGAGCCTGTTCCTCAAACAAATGAGCTCCACTTAAGTCGATGGGACTCTACCCCAGCCCTGGCCAGCTTTCAGGGCAGACAGACGTGGGCTGTCCTTCCTGCAGTCCTTTCAGTGACCACTCCCCTTGCAGCACAGCTGACATGCAGGAGGCAGCAAAAAAAAAAGCACAGTGACTGGTTTGGGCCTTGCCTGATGGGGGGAAAGGATACCCCTACAATGTGGGGCTGGCAGGCAGATCATTGCCCTGTCATGGAATAAGCGGTGTTGCCACAACTAAGAACTGGCTTCAGGAGGGAGGCAGGGGGTCTGCTCCTAGCACTTCCCCGCTAACCTGGGGCCTCATCCAAGCTCCTGTGGAAGGTGGTGGTAGGAGCTCAGCGCAAGCTGTGCCTAGGTGCTTGGCCTGCCTTAAGCAGTGGGTGCCTTTGGTGGGGGGGGGTGGAGTATTTTTGGGGAGATGATTGAAGAGAGGGAGGTCACTAGCCCTAGAGCTCACTCCCTGCCCAGCCCTTTGCATGTCCGAGCATTAGCAGGACCAGCACGACAGTGGGGAGGAGGGGCCGACTCACGCCTTGGTATTATTGCAGCTTCTGCCTGGCCAGGATTCACAGAACCGAATTGAGATGATGCACGGAAACCCCTGCCTGTCCGCCTTCCCCAGCACCCTGCACGGGGCGGCTGCTGGCTGAAGGCTTCCCGGGTATGACGCAGGGAACCAGCCTGCTGGAGACCTGAGCCGGGGCGGTGGCAGCGGGGCAGGGAGCAGCAACAGCGGTGTCCTTCCCTCGGCAAGAGCAGGTGAGGCCTTGCAAAACCCTTGGCCTGAGCAAACAGGACACAGAGACGCCTGTCTTCTGCTGGTGGCCGACCCCACGTCACCTTGTCTGCTTGAGGCCAGAGGAGCTGTCACAAGTTCCTTCCTTTTGTGGGGTTTTTTTGTTTTTTTTTAAAACAGCAAAGAGCAAGATGGAGCGTAACGTAAAACCAGAGACGTGGGCCGTGTACATTCTGCCTCAGTGTTTGTCACAAGCGTCGACGGGCAGAAGCCGGGGAAAGGGAGCCTTTGGTCTGGGCATGACGGGGGCGGAGGGAGGTCAGCAGGAAGGCTTGGGGAGTCATGCAGTGGGGGGGTGCTGCAGTCGTACTGCGGGGACGGGAGATGGTTAGCGGGGAAAGGACGTTGCAGTAAAATCCACATGGCTGGGTGGCGACGCACAGAGCGGGCGCCCAACGCTGCCGTCTGCAGCAGGGGCTGCATCCCGGGCGCCCTCGGGCAGACTCCAGCTGCCGTTAGTGTCTTTCTCCAGCAAGTTGAGGCACACTGAGGCAGCCAAGGCATCGGTTTCTTCCTCTCCAGGGCGACTGCTGAGCTTGCCGGCTACCTGGCAGGGGGGAAAGGGCTTGTCTTACCCTTAGGAAAAGGGTTTTTTGGGTTTCTAATTTTTTTCTTTTCTGCCTACCGGACAAGTCCCTTCCTGCAATGGCTGGCAGACCCTCACGTGGTCCTGCTCTTCGAGGAGGCTCCTGCACCCAGGACGGCTCCCTCCTTTCCTCCAAGATGGTTCTCTGATGCATTTGCTGTCCCTACTGCCAGCCATTGCCACCCATTTGGGGCAGGGGGCACATCTCCACAGCCACCTTCCCAAGCATTGGAGATGCCCCTGCGCAGTGCAGAAGAGGCCAGAGAGCTCCAGCTGTTGCATTGAGATAAAACATTAAATCCACTGGTAAAAGCAGATTGCCTCAGCTTCCCTGATGCCCTGGAGTTCAGAGCCAGCGGCTTGCTGGTGGGGTTGGAAGAGCAGTTGCAGCTGGGCCACCCCCTCGCTCGCCGCCCCTGGGGTGGTTCAGATATCAGCTCTCACAGATGATGAATGAAAACGGGGGCTCTTCTCCCCACGTGTCCTCCTCCACCCCACCCCTGCCAGCCCCGCGGCTCTAGGTGCTGCGGTAGGTTTTGATGATATCCTTGATGGCCCGCCTGCAGATGGGGCAGCAGGCGTTGGCCATCTTCTTGAGCTTCAGCCCGCAGGAATAGCAGAGACACATGTGCCCACAGGAGTAAATGACCGTGTCCACCATGTTCTCGTAGCAGATGGTGCATTCGTCTCCCCAGGCCCCGGAAACAGAGGGGGAGATGGGGGACTCCGGCATGCTAACCGGGGAGTTCGGAGCCGTGCCTGCAAGGGAAGGGACACCGTCAGTCTTTGGGCGAGGGGAGGGATGAGGGGAGCTGCTGCACTGGGGTCTGGAAGGAGTGGTTTAAGTGCCTTCGTCCATCAGCGGCCTTTGCTTCTGATGAGGGAGGTGAGAAAAGCCTGAACTGTGCAGCTGGGTCGTTTCACCGGCATCGCTGAGGAAGGGAAAGCAATTCTTGGCTCTAGCCCTTGGGATTTGCTTCTGCAGCTGCCTGCCTCTGCTACCCAGGCTGCTGGCATGCAGCAGCAAACACCAGGCCCCAGCTCACGTGCAGTCATGTGCGTGCAATGCAAAGCAAAGTGCCCCTGGGAAAGCAGCACCTGCAGCAACCAGAGATGGCACCTGCCCTTGGCTCGCCAGCACCAAAAGCCTTCCTTCGGGTGGCAGACGTGCCAGTCGAAGGGGATGTGGCAGCTGCAATGCAGCTCCACCTCGCAGTTGGGTGCCCAGCAAAGCTAGGCAGTGGAGAGAGGGCTTTTCTAGCAGGGAACCCCCCCTGTGCTGGGACAGAGGATGGGCTTGTGGTGAAGACACAACCTGGGCAGGCAGAAGCCCTGGACTGCACTCCCACAGCCTTGCTGCGTGGCCTTTTGGGGCCTCACCCCCCACAGCCTCTACTCCACCAGAGCCAAGTCGGCCAAGAGAAACCCTGCTGGTCACTGCCCCTGCCTCGAAGCATCTTCCAGGTCAAACAGGCTGGGAACAGGAAGATCCCCAAGGGCCGACAGGCTTACTGGCTCTTCCCACCTCAATGGCTGGGGTGCACCATGCTGGAAAAGGCCCTGGGAGTCTCCAGGGGGGAAATGCGGACGAAAGGGGGCAACACTTACCGCTGATTGAGCTGCAGAGCAGGCCTGAGCCGCAGGTGGTCAAGATTGGGTCGGAAACCCCGCTGCAGAGGGTGGTGGGGGAATTGGGAGCCGAGGTGGGGGAGCTTGGTATGGACGGGCCCCGTCGCTCAGCCAGGATGGTGGAACCTGGAGAAGAGAAAGCCAACAAGCCATGGTCGATCGCCGCCTGGGGAGCCAGCCCCCTGCACGGGACGCGGGGCTGGCGACAGGGTGAATTCTCCCTCCTCTCTGCATTAAGGTGGCGTGAGATCTGGGAAAGACACTCAGCCCTACAGAAGTCAACTAAACTTCAAGAGGGCCGGGACTGTTTCCCTTCCCAGGAAGCCCGGGCGCAATAAGGCACACGCCCGACCCGCTGCGGCTGCCATCAGCTGGCCTGGAAGCGGTGCCAGCCTCAATGACCCCTCAAAGCAAGCTGGATTTCTTTTAATCAACACAGCGGGTTACAGCTGCCTTTTAAAATGTGGCTTTTCCTTGAACTGAAGCCCTGCACCCACCATTTCCCGCCCCCCCCAGCAGCCTGATACGGCCGAGGGGACCCCAGCCAGGACCAGGCCAGCCCGCAGGGGATGGACTGGAAAGAGGCCGCGTGCACCACCGCTGCACAAGCTCAGAGCAAAAACGCGGTCCTGGCGCCAACCAGGCCAAGCAAGGGAGGTCCAGAGCTGCTGAGAGGGAGATGTGGGAGAGCAGCAGCCCAATGCCTGCGCGCTGACCTGGGGCTTGAGGCCAGGCCCTTCCCCTGCGCCTCTCCTATCCGCGTGAAGGCAGCTCCCGTCACCTCTTTGCAAGCGAGTGTTATCAAGCAACCTGCTGTCCAGCTGCTGCTGACTGGGAACAAGGGAAGGGGGTGCACTCAGTTTGGGTCCGAGACCCACAGGACCCTCGCCAGTGACCAATGAGCTCCAAAAAATCATCTCTGTGCGAATGCCCCCATTTGCCATAAATGCAAAGCCCCCCAGCACAAGGCAGGTGGCACCTCTACCAATTTCACAGGCATTTCCTTAGTTCACAGTGGGCCTGAATGCAACCCCTCCTGTACGGGGATCTCGGCACCCGTAGCGTTGGGGCGGTGGAAGCCCAGCTTGGGACACTTGCCTGCAGGGAGAAAGTGCTCGGCCAAAGAGACCACATCTCAGAGACAGCCTGGCCACCTCCTTCACCCTTAGCGTGCTCCTTGTCTTGCTGCTATAATAATATAATTAGCTTAAATAACACGCCTCCCTTCTTTGCAGTTTTCGGGCCTTGGCTGAAGACATGGCAGGGCTCAAGCAAGAACGATGCTTATTCGATTCTAATACTTAAGACTTCTTCATCTTACCAAGGAGGCAGATCAATGAACCAGAGGCTGCTTTCGAGTGAGACGGAGAGCCAAAGCCGGCTGGACAGCCTGAGCGAGACCTCGGGGACTGAGGAGAGGACATTCCCCTCCCGCCAGCTTTGGGAGTGAAAGCATCCCTGCAGTACACCCGGGATTGACGGAAAATACCGAACACCGCTATCCACCCCATGTTGAAATAAAGCCAGGTGCTTTGCATGCAAAGGGCATTGGAAGGGAGGCTCCTCTGCCTCAGTTTCCCTCCACACACCACCATGCAGCAGGCAAAACAAGCGACGGCCTTCCCCGTGTGCCCTGCAGCTTCCTGAGCTCTTTAGCAACACGACCAGGGCCAGAGGTCTGGGTCCTCCTGCCACTTTGCCAGAGTTGCTGCTTGACTTTGGCCTCGGTAGCTCAGACGCCCCGTCTGCATTATGGGGCTATGGCTTCTTGCAAAGAGGAATTTGTGGCTAGCACATCAGCGTGCCAATGGCCTTGTGGGGAAAAAGGGGGGTGAAAACAAAGCTGTTCTGGGAAGAATCAGGCCTCTTCCAAGCAGCTCGAGCAGTTCAGGACCTCTCTTCCTTCTGAATTACTTATAAAAGAAATAAGGCCCCACAGGGCAGAGCATCCCTTGCGAGTCCTCCTGTTGTGCACAGCCAGTCCTTCAGCTGGGGGCCACAAAAAGCCAGATCCTTTTGTGCAAGGGACCTCGTGTTGTCAAATGTATTCCCGTGCGCTTGTCTCATGGGCAGAGCCCTCACCCGAAAGTGGGGAAACCAGGTTCAAATCTGGCTGGGGGGCAAAGAGTGCCTTGAATGGTGGGAGGCAAGGATTTTGGGGGGTGCTGTCTTTTATTGGACCAACAGCGTGGTTGGGATGGACTCGGACAAGCTTTTGAAGGCAACACACCCTTTGGATCAGTGGGCCTGCTCACAGGCTGGCAGCAGAGAGCCAAGTCCTGTGAACCGAGCCCGCAGCGACCTGCCCGAGAGCTTCCCTACCAGGCGATGGTGGAGCCGGTTGAGGACCCGAGGGGACCTCAGGGGGTGAGACGGACAGATCGAGCAGGCTGCGCTGTGGTCCTGGCACTTCCCCAGACAGGCTACTTTGTCTCGTCTGTGGTGAGAGCGAGGAACCGATGAGCCTCTGAGCTCATACCCCGCAGTGCTCGAGCCTGGTTGTTCCCAGAAACAGCCCTTTCAGTTCCCTCCACAGCCCCCGCTCCAGCCAAGCCAAGCTGGGCACGCCACGGCTTCTGAGGTTTTTTTTTTTGCTTTTTTTTTTTATTTTCCAAATTTCCAAAAAGGTAACGAAGACTTTGACATGCGAAGCCTCTGGAAAATGCTTGAAATGTCAGGTGCGTGTTTGGAAAGAAGGCAGCTGTTCCCAAAGGGAGCGTGACATCGCATTTGGGCTGACACGGGGAGGCCTCTGGGTGCCCCCAGGTCCTGCTCAGCCCTCGCAGTGCCCACGTTCAGCCGAGTGCATGGCCCGGTGTGCTCCGACCCCACCAAGCTAACGTGCCAGGGTGAAAAGGAACAAAGTCTTGTTCCAGCGTGAGCGATGCTGAGGCGTGAGCAAATGCAAAGCTGTTTTTGTTGCACCGTGTGAGGGCAGCAGGGAATGATGCCAGCTATCGTTTCTTAGCATCGGTTGCTGCCTGCGTTCACCATCCCACTGCGCATTGTTTCCGCGTGCATCGCCTTTCTATGCAGCACAAAGCACTGCCTGCTGCAATCGGGGGCAGGTTCATGAAAAGTCTTGAGCTAGAAGCAAAGAGCATTTGGCACCTGCAGCTCATGGCAAAACCCTGCTCAGAGCAACAAAGGCCCTGAAAGCCAGAGTCCTGCACAGGGGTGCCGAGTGCTTTGCACTTCGCTGCCTTCCCTGGGTCTTGGAGTCACCGACTCACCACTTCTCCCAGCTTCTCTGTGGCTAAATGACTGGCCCGAGGTCAGAGAAGTGAGTCTATGGCAGAGCGGGCAATAACAGGCATGTCTCTCTCCTACAAGTCTCGGCTCTGACATCTAGCCCCGTGCCGCCTCCTGTCATCCAGAGCCCGCGTGGCGTGGACAGCGCGGCTCTGTGCATCCTTGCCCGCAGGACAGGATGTGGCACGTACAACACCACCCCAGAAGCAGCTGTTTTATAAAGTCACCTGGCTTCTGCCCAGGGTCATCTGTGCCGCTTCGCAGACCTGGGTTAGTGGCTTTGTTTGGATCTGCTGGCACCTGTAACAGGGGGAGCCCGGCATGAATCGTGCTCTTCCTCCACTCCGCTTTTTCCACTCCTGTAAAACACCACGTGCTGCGGGCCTTGTGCAGAGAGGCGTTCGGCACCCACATCTTCCACTGACGTCAAAGGGAGGGGCTGGCAGTTCTTCAGGCTTGGAAAGACTGGACTTGCTGGCCGAGGGTGGGGTGGAGCGCAGGTGCTCCTGGCACAGAGTTAGTCCCTTGGCTGGTGCGGCAGGGTGGGGTGGGGATGCCTCCCTATGTCCGGGGTGACGGGTACAGTCAGCAGTCCTGGCACGGGTACGATACAGTCACAGTGCGCCTACCAGAAGGGAACGGCGAACAGCCGAAGGCATTTACAAAACCAAACCCTGCCTCAGCCCAGAGGAGGTTGCCTCCAACCAGCTCACACGCCTGGCTTCAGCTCACCTCGTGAAACTGAGAATCAACCCAGCCGGTTCAGCGATTTTTTTTTTTTTTTTTTTCCCCCTCCCCTCCCCCTGGAAAGGCCCTGGCAGCTAGGGACAGATGAAGACTGTGGTCAGCAGCACGGCTTCCTGCAGTCACACCAAAGCTTTTTAGAGCTGGAGAAAAAAAACTTTCCTAGATGGCCAGTCTGGGACTGTGCAATTAGCTCCCCCAAGGATGAAAGGCCGTCACAAGTGGCACCCCGCTGCTTGCACAGCCCCTTGATCTGCCTTCTCCATCAGCAATACCGAGCAGCGTGTGCCTATTAACCGCCAAGGCACGTGCTCCCCTCCCTGTGCCCCCAGGGGACAAGCCGCTCGGATGCTCGCCGTGCTGCTGAACCCGAGGCTGCATGACGCCCCAATGCGGCCAGGACGCGTGCGGCTCCAGGCCATCGCTGGGAATTAAAAATAACCCAACCCTGCCATTGAGCCTGCGACAGCCTGGCTCCTGCTGAACCCTGTGGAGCCAAGGTGTCGCTGAGGGCTGTCCGGGACACAGCCAGCATGGATGCCTTATGAGCACCAGCTGAGGAGCATTGTATTGGCCTGCATGCCACGTGCACCACGCCCCCAAAAATCAGCCCTCCAAAACTGGGCTGTGGGAAGGTGATGGTTCTTCACTGGAATAGCGGCATGGAGACACGACTGCACGATGGCAGGAGAGAGGATAACCTTCTTGCAGCGTCTCTCAAACTGGCTGCTCATCAAAAAACTGCTGCCGCTGCGAGAGGGGCTGCGAAGGGTTCACACGGGAGAAGCTGGTGGTCATCTTGCAGTACGGTCCTTCCATGAAAAAAATGCTTCTGAGTAAATCTTGCTTTCTTTTGTTGTTGTTTTTTTGTTTTTTTGTTGTTGTTTTTGCAAAAACAAGGTGCATGTCATTTAGGGGCATGTTGTAGGTGAGAGAGTGCAGTTTTCTCCTTGCACAGCCCCTGCACAATTAAAACTACTTCTTGTCCCGCCTGATCCCAAACCTACTGGAAAGACATCCTCCGGCGTCAGCGGCCCTGGAGGCAGGTCCATATTCCAGGAGGTTTGCTGACATGATTATCAAGCTCCTAGTGTTAGATAAAGGCCAATGTCTGTGGAGCAACAATTAGTCACCGCTCTGTTTCTGTATGGAGGACCGCCAAACGCACTAAAAATATGAAATGCTGGAAGCCATTAAATGTCACCGAGAGAGAAGAAAGAGTCCATACAATCACCACTGCTGACTATCACTTCTAGAGGAGCCTTCATCTGCATTCAACAGGGATGCTGTGGTCCCAGGACGGGGGGAAGAACCGAGATCCTCTCCTAGCAGGGTTTGTTCCCTAAGATCAGCCACTTTTAAGCAGTGGTGGTAAGTTTTGAAGTGGTGAGATCTGGTCTTTTGGTCGCTTGTCCCTCGGATCTGGTCTCCTTTAAGAAAGCTGTATTATTTGAGGAGTGTCATTGGTACCTAACTGGGGAAAGGGCTTAGCAAAAGGGAACCTGCGAGGTAAATATAAGCCATATATTAGGGCAAAGGGCTTCCTAAAACTGCCAGAAATGAGCATGCTCCTATAGGAAACCAACAGCGAGCAGGCAGCAAGATTGCCCTTTCCTGTAACCACCATAACAACCATCTTTTCCTCTCCGCACCAGGCCTAATCAGCAAACCTGATTTCCAATTTAACTCCTTTGACCCTAAAAATCCCCCACAGGTGGACACTAAACCGGATTACAAACAAGCGCATCAAATACACGGTGTGTTTGATCAATGTATTGATCTAAAAGCAATCCGCTGCTAGAGTCAGACCTTCTTGGAAAGCTTGAGGAGCATCCCTTGTGTGGAGAGGAAGGGGGATATGCTTTCCCTAGTGTAAAAGCTTATTTCTGTGACTCATTTTCATGGAGCACTCACAAAATGGTGAGTTTGGGGGTCCTGCTCATTGCTGAGTGGCCCGCTAAGCAGAAGCGATTAAAAACAGGTGGATAACGGTTATATGCAAATCACACATTTCATTTCAAGCCCAACACTCGCTCAGCATTTGCTAGCCACCAGCAGCAGTGATTTGCTTGGACAGCGGCAGAGGTCGGTAGGACCTTTCCAGGGAGGCCAGCAGGCAAAGTGCAGCAATTGTCATGGATCTCAGGACTTTGTAACGCACCATGGCACACGTCCCGGCCGAGGGTGATGCCAAAGCCCGCAGCCATTTCCCAGCTCAGAAGCGACGAGCCTGAGGGAAGCAGGATCAAAAGCCTTGGAAGTTAGCTGAAAGCACTGAGTAACCCCGTGGATGGGACCTGGGTGGCATTGGAGGCTGGGCAATGAAAGGAGAAAAGGAGGTGAATCCTCCTTGACTTTGCAGATCTTCACCTCCTTGCCCTGACCCCTTTATCGCTGACACAGAGCCCGGTACTTCTGCACGCGTTCAAAGTTGAATCTTGCCAGGCCCAGGACTCTCACCCAGGACCATGAGGACTTTGCCTCTGAGAGCCTAATGCAACTGGACTTCCCACGCTTCGAATGCGCGCTGCTTGGAAATGAAAAGACGCCCGAGACATTTTCCATACAGCCTGGAGCTTTCCCTTTTAAACAGGGGGAGAAAAAAACCCCAACATAAATATACACAGGGACTTCCACCTTGAAAAAACTTTGGGACAGCATTTACTGCCCAGGGCAAACACCAGCTGAAGTGATTCATTTGGTGTCAGCTGTTTGCAACTCCTGTCAAGGTTTTTTATGGCTGGCCCTGGAACACTGTATATATATGTATATGCATTACCTGTCAAGGCTTTTTATGGCTGGTCCTGGGACGCTGTATATACAATAGACACCCCCTGTGTACACACCGCAGGGGCAGTATTTTCTTTATCGTGCAAGCTTCTAATCTGCCGGCTCAGACTTTGCTCTGCTGGGCTGTGGTTGTTGCCAAGAAAACCATCGCTGCCGTTCAGGAATTGTCCTTAATTTGTTTGAACGGCCTCTCCTTCCTGGGAGCTGGGCTGGGCTGCAAAGTCTGGCCCTTCCCCAAACATTGTAAAAATTAAAAAAAAAGGGGGGAACCTGCTCTGCCCTCCCCGGTGCAGTTCTGCTTTCTCAGGGGTTGCCACCCCCGAAGCATTCATCTGGGGCTGATTTATTGCTGCAAGTTGGAGGTCAAACAGGCTGATCCCTCTCCCTTGGAAGGGATGCTAACAAGCTTGGTAGCCCGGTCCACAAGCTGAACGAGGAAGGCGAGGAGAGGGATGACACGATGGCCCCCTGTAAAGACCAGATTCTGCCGACCTCCAGCAGAGTTACTGATACTGAGCCTAAAGACCGGTGCAATGTGATCTTCTCCATGCTGGAAGATTCACACCTTCTGTCTGCAACGTAGATTGAATTCAAGGACCGCTCCTGCAGGCTTCCCACCAACCGGGTCCAGAACAAGTCGCTAGGAGCCAACCTGGCTTCACCTTTTGAATGCACCATCGTAAAACAAAGCAATACAAAGGTATCATAGCTAGCTGGCAAACCATCCATCACTGGGTTATACAGAAATACGAAGGCTCGGGAGGGAGGTGGCCATGTCCATGGCTCTTAGAAGTTAGATAATATATGTATTTGCAGGTGGCAGGTTGTGAGGTTCCCACGGTGATCCAAACAATGCTATCTTGATCACGGGCCAGCAGCTCCTCTCCCTCGGGCGGGCTTGTTCTTCAAACCACGCCGTGCATGCCAGGTCGCCACTGCCTCTGAGACCGCTGACAACAACTAAGAAGCTGCTCTTCCCGCTTCATTAAAAGTACTTCCAGCTTTTTACCTTTTGAAAAACAAGGAAGCTATGGAGCACAAGGGCTACTCTCTTAAGCTTTCTAGCAGTTTCTAACACCATAGTCCGGAAAAATAAATCAAGGCCAGCATTGGCCATTGCACACGTCGGTACGACGCTACATGATGCGCTCAGAAGATCAAGACCTCCTGTGGACCAGAAAACAACGTAACGTGTTCAAGCCGTTAGGGTTACGCAGAAGCTATGGCCCTGCCATTTGTAGCGCTAAGGAAAGGCAGGAGGGAACCAGCAGGTGCACTGCAAAAATTCATCTCCATTTCTTTTGCTTTTATGCAGGGACAGCGGGAGAGCTCTGGGGACGGTTAGGATGCTCCTGTAGGCTTTGCAGTGGAACGCACTGGGAGAGACTTCAGCCCATCCTCCTTGCAAAAGTTTAAAAACTGCATGGTCCAGGTGCTGCTCTTTGACTGCTTGATTTGTGCTAAGCCTTAGAGGAGCCTTTTAGAGGATCAACATAGAAAACGAGGGGTGGACGGGACCTCAGGAGGTCACACCTAGTCCAAACCCCTGGTCTAGTCCAGCCAGCCCCACCTAAATCATCCCAGCCAAGGTGTTGTCTTGCCTGGTCTTAAAAAACCTTTGGCTGAACATTTCTGTTAGGTAGGCAGGAAGGAAAAGAGGCGAACCTCATCCAGCGGGAGAAAGCTTTGGGCCCCAGGAGAAAGCAAAGACATACAGCTGCAACCTTTTAGCTCCCATAAGAACAATAAATGTTCCCACTCCTTCCTGCATCTCCCAGACGGCTAGTCCTTGGCCTTGGAAAGGCAGGGGGAGAACTTGGTATCTTGTTGTCCCTTCTCTGATGGCAAATATACCTGGAAAGAACAAGGGCTCTGTCCAAAAGACACCCACAGAGTGGGGCGAGAGCATACCAGTGAAGGGCCAGGATGCTATTTATCTCCATGCTAAGAAGAAGAAAACCCAACAGCAGTGAGCTGCAGCCCGGGGTCTGGAGCAAAGATGCACAGAGACAAGGTGAGAAGAAGGAAAAACAATCATCCCCCTCCGAAAGAGAAATGGGAACATGTACCACCTCTGATGGGCAGCCCGGCTCAGCTCTGTCCTTGCCAAACCCTAGTGAGCTTCTTGCAGTCGAGGGTGCAGATGAATGTGATTAATCAACTCCAAGGCAGCCCAGGTCATAAGAGACGGGTAGTGACAATCCTAGATTAAGTCCAACGTGGACAAATTAGAAAGAATCCAGCAGAGAGCAACCAAAATGATCGGCTGTCTAGGAAATGCGTCTTATGAGGAAAAGTTGGAGGAACTGGGATTCGTTTCGTCTGGAGAAGAGAAGACTCAGGGGAGGGATTTGATAACAGCCTCCAAATACATGAAGCGTGAAAAGATAGCGATAGACTGTTCTCTTTGGCTGCAGAAGACGAGACAAGAAATAACTTAAATTGCAGGAAGGGAAATTTGGATATTAGGAAGAATGTTCTCATTATGTGGGTGGTTAAGTACTGGACCAAGCTCCCTAGAGAAGTTGTGAAGTCTCTACCCTTGGGAGTTTTTAAGAGCAGGATGACTATGGTCTTTGTCCCTGTCTAAACCATTGCAGTAGTCAATCCTGCCTTGAGCAGGGGGTTGGTCTAGGTGACTTTGAGGTCCTTTCCAGCCATATTTTTCAACAATTCAGATAAAAAGTTTACTCCCTATGGATGAATTCAGAGCCAAAAATGTTGATTGCATATAAATCAAGAGGTAAGGCTTTGAGGCCTTCCAACTAACCCCACCCCGACATTGTCAAAGTACAATGAACAAGATATTCATTTTAAAGCCATCAAGACCAATCCTAGAAGAACCACCAACTTGCCTTGGCACGAGGCAGAGTGTAGAGTTCACCTCAATCCTCAAAGCCACACGAAGGTCACAAAAGCCCATTTTGGCTGGGCTACTGCTTGCAAACCCTGGCTTGGCGAGCAAGAGGGAAGCAGTCATCTAATCTAATGCTTCAAAGCCCAGCACAAGGCTGATATCGGGGTGGCAGGTGGAGCTGCGAAGCAAGTAACTGCACTAAAGACCTTCCTTGCTGCTCCTCTGAATTTCAATTGTATGTTTTATCAGGAAAAATTAAAACACAGGTGTTATCGGCGAGTTTAGTCTATCCTGTCACTCTTGCGAGTAGCCAGGAGAACTCACGCCAGCAATCGGTCAAGAAATATGCAGGCTTTATCTTCCCTGACAGCCAAGCCATAATTCAAAGGGGCTGGTGAATTAGCCCATATCCCGTTTACTCAATGCCGACAAGCAGAGGCGTGATGAGATAAGGGAGATCCATATATCAGCTGTTATGAACATCGCATTGTATCTAGGGATCTTTTATTACAATGGTGGCAATAAAGGCTGTTCATTTCCACTCTCACGGAGGAATGAACACAGAGGGCAGGCAGCTGCAGAGACTACAAGTGCCACGGCTGTAACTGCATTTAGGTAGTTGCACTCAACCCTTCTTCCCTGGAAAACAGCTATGCTCAAAACAGTGCTGCCTGACACAGGATCACAGAAAATGAGGGTTGCAAGGCACCTCGGGAGGTCACATCTCATCCAACCCCCTGCTCAAAGCAGGACCAGCCCCAACTACATTATCCCAGCCAGGGCTTTGTCATGCTGACCCTCAGAGGTACCAAATGCCTGGGAATTGCAGTCCAGACTCACGGCAGCAGGATTTTGCAGGGTTTCTCATCAGGGTTGCTACTTCACCCACTCTGGCAATCTTCAAAAAAGTCTCGACACCCATCGTCTGATCCCAGCAGTCTTTCCTGCCCACGTGCAGGGGGGCTGGACCCAATGATCTGTAAGGTCCCTTCCAGCCCCTAACAACTATGAAACTATGAAATCCCATGTAAAAATGAGATCCAGCCCTTAACAAAGGCAAGCCAAGCTCTCACCGGCAGCCCCCACTACCAGCTTTGCATCGACAAAGCAGTACGTGCACCCCCTCCCTAACGCTGGGGCAGTTACCGCCACGCCATCATGATCTGGGAGAGCAAAGCACATGCTGTGCAGCAAACAGACTGAGCAGGGGCTTGGGATGCAGCTCTCCTGAGTGCCCACATCATCCCCAGGCCTTGCCGCTGACGTGCCAACTCAACAGCAGTTTGCACGACAGCTGACAGACCTGTATGGGTGGGGGGTGAAACTGCACTTGTGCACCTCCCGAGACAACACATGGTTTAATTAGCCTAGGCAAAGAGAGATGCTAGGATGAAAGGCGCTTTTCTATGAGCAGAGTGAGCAGCTGTAAACTTTCCCACTGCCAGCACTGGCTGAAAAAGGCAACAGCAAGGCAAAAGGGTCACTGTAACCTGAAAGTCTCCAGTGCAGGGCCTCGACGGTGCCGCCTACCCCGTTCTGTAGGATCCCTCATCAGGTGGATTCTCATTACGCTAATTTTGCTTTTTTCATGATAGATGTGACAAGGCAAGGGACACGGCAGGCTGGCTGTAGAAAGCAGCGCAGAGTCCCAAAGCAATCGAGGATGCAGTCCTCTTGGGTATCTCTTGCAAATTAACATTACTAATGCAAGCCTAATTCACGCACAAAAATACAACCCAGCCTGATGGAAGGGTTCATAAAGCGTGGGGGCACGTAACACAAGTTCATTTCTTTCCAAGGCGTGTTGAACATTTTAACTTGTTCTCGACATACAGCAGAACCGCAGCACTGTGCTTCCAAATGGATTCTGCTGAAGCAATAAAGGGCTGCTTGCCCCGCAGTTCCCCAGACCTTTAGGCAGTTAAGTGCCATAGACCCAGGCCTGTTAAATCTGTATCTCTTTAATGAGTCCATTTTCCATACACAAAATCAAAAACACGGTCCATAAACCTCTGGAGTGCCTCTAAGTGAATGCTTGTTAAAGGAAGAGACCCATTATATGCATTTTTGTGCAATAATGTTATGAATTTCCCTGACTTCAATTGTCGTGTGCTTATTTTAACTCCTTGAATGCTGGCATTTTCCAAAGTGCCAGAACGATTCAAAATGGGGATGGGTCAGGTTTCCAAAATGGCAGAGGTTATGTAGTGACCGTGTCTATGCTCATGTCACCTATGGCTGGCCCGTGCCGTGGGTGGGAGATCTACTGCTGCAGAAAACTCCCTTAGCTCGAATGGCAAAAGCGCATGTATCCAAAGCTGAAGAACCAGCATCCTCACCCTCGCTCCCCATACGCCTGTGGGACTGATCTAGCAATTGCACCCACTGTCTGCGCCACTGGCCCATTCATACTTCAATCCTTTGCACGCCGCCGCTGTAACTGCACACGCAAATTAGGCACACAGTTGCACTCGTATGTAACCAAAGCCAGCTGCAGCCTGCTGATCATTTTGCACTGCAGCAAAGAACAGGGGTTAGCGCCGCCCCACTGCCCAGCAGCATAACCAGGGGTGCGTGGCTGGGCACCGATTTAAATCGGGCACAAAACGGCAGGTGCCCCTGTCACTCCCTCTGATGCAGAAGCTCCTGGTGATGTCTCTGTCCTTCTCGCCACCCAAAACAGAACCAAACAGAAGGATGATGGAAACCACCCCGAACCTACACCGCATGGCTAACTGCAGAAAGAAACAAAGCTCTCCTCCACCTCTCCATCTGCAGCCTCCTTAACAAGATATGATCCATACCCTCAAGAGCTTGGGAAGCCCAGACACCTGTCTGCTGAAGCACACGTCCTCTTGTCATTGGGTGAAGTCCAATGGCTCCCTCCCTGCTGATGACTGAATATCCAGCAGATGATCCCCCCAGGTAAGACTACTGATCTAGGCTAGATTGAATAGGACCGGGGGGGCTAGACACCAGCAGCACTGTGTTACAGACCTGAAGGCTTCCTCCTTTATCCTTACTTTAACAATGTGCTCATTTATTTTTTAATTACTTACACGATAACTTTTGTCTCAAAGGAAAGGATGACCTTCACTGGGGAGCTCCCACCCCCCAAAAAACTCCCTGATACTTTTGCTGCACGTATGCGATTCATTCGGAGCTGCAGGAAAATTATAACATGCGCCACTAGTTGGCTCCTCCACAAGCAAATATATCGACTTATTATTGCTAAAGCTTTTCCAGACATGAGTCATAACTTTAAAACCCTACAAGGCCGGTCAAATTTAACTTCTTAAATGAATTACAGCATGAAAGGCAGGCCAATACATTCAGCCCCATTCACTTCAATCT